GTTTTGGATCGCATGTATTGATTACGTGTTTCTCTTAATCGTAATCTTATAAGCTTTTACTTATATTTAAAGTATCATCATGAGTTTAATCCTTTCATAAATTTATTCAGAAAACTCGTATTCTTAGGCGAACTTATTAGAAACAATTTTAAGATAATCTCCGTATTTTACTAATTATGTATTAAGTTAAATTTTTTTTTGGTATTTAAAAATTTCTTATTGTTCCTATACGAGGTAACGAAGATCACCAAATTTTGATTTGCATATTTCAAAAGAAATGTAAAACATTATTCGTCAAGATAAGTAGATTATTTTTGATTCTTAAATACTTTATTTGGTACCCTATTCTAGAAAATGTGAAATTTTTCATAACAATTTACAGGATTATTTTTTTCAGTTCATAATGTTTCGATCTGTAAATTACAGATAAAATGAAACAAGTTTATTTCGTGGATAGAAATATATTTGTTTATTTCCTTCTTTGCGGTTGAAGTAGTCTTATGGTTGTTTAAACTATTGTTTAAATAGGAGTTAATAAACTGTCGTTTACTTAATATGAAAATGTTTTTTTTTTAAATTTTAATTAATTTAATATTTTATGCTTTTTTTTAAAAAAGAGATTTCTTTTAAACGATGTTAGAAACACTATTATTTTTCTTCCATTTTCTTTATCATTAATAATAATAATGATAACAATTATGATAATAATAAAGAACATATAGCGGGTTTTTCATTTTACTGAATTAGTCAACTAACTTGTAGAGTATTTTAGCTTATGTTCTCAAATGGATGAAATTAAAAGAATTTATCTTCTTATTTTTTTCTTTGATGCTTAAGATTTAGATGGAATGTTTAACATTTTTTTCCCATATGAGGTGAATCTAGAATTCAGCTGGCGTAAGCGACAAACGTAAGCTACAAAACGTACTCCAGAAAAGCTAATCAAACAATAAACTTAATTCTGACGCAGAAAGCAAGAAGAAAGGAATGATCAATTAAAAACCTCAGGTTCGTTGAATTCGCGTTCTCTAAAAGCATGCGAACGAAATGAAGGGACACTTATTCCAAACATTCGACAGTTGAGGAATATTTAAATAGAGTTATTACACGGTATTTGAGAGCATCTTGGTTCGATCAAACGCAGTTTAAGAATAAAATTTCTTCTAAAAATGTAATATTAATTCAAATATTAAGTATTAACGGGTGTAGAATGTAAGGTGTTTCTTAATTAGCGCTTTTGATGTATTTGTTTAGACCTGTAGTTAAAAATAAAGAAAAAAAAGTATGCTCATTAGGGGTTGCACCATCAGTATTTAAGTGACTAAAAAAAGAAAAAAAATGCTTTCGAAATCTGTTGCATGAGTCATTTATTGAGGAGGATAGAATGAAAAACATCAAGCACAGTTTAACTTACTGATTAAGCTTAGTGGTATTTTAAATAACCAATTTTTTAGTTATTTTAGGTTTCACCCGGCAATCAAACAGGTTTTGGTTTGTTTATGCCGCTTTCCAGAGTAGTAATTCGTTAGATTTCGACAGTTTTTTTTTTCTTATATGAACAACAGATCTCTAATGTGCTAAAAATTTTAAAAATTTATTTTTGACAAAGATTGAAAAAAATTATTACGGGACCTCGAATTACTAAAACATTTTCAAAAACGTTAAAAATAATTGTTTATATTTAATTGATTAAATTTTCCTAAATATTGATATTTTTACCTAATTAATCGTGCAAAACTTTTACTGAAATTGTTAGAAGAATATATTAATGTTTTAAGTTCGAAATGCAACGGATTTTAAATATTGTTGCTGCACAAAATGAACAACTTGTTTAAAGTTTTACATTAAGAATTTAATGAACGGAGAAAAAGACATAAAGAAGCATACTGTCCAACAAACTTAAATATCGATTTTAATCGCTTTGCATATTATATAAAAGTAGTGAATATTATATTCTTTTCTGTTTCTCAAGCAATTAATCAGGCTTTGGTTTTTTCAGCCCCACCGTTCTCAGTAGTGCTTCGTAAGATTTGGATAGGGTTTTTGTTTCTACCAGTTTAAACAAAACATTTTATTGTTCAAAGTGTATGTTTTTTTTACTAATATTTTTTTTTAACATTTATATATATATATATATATATATCTAATATGCGGTGTATCCACACCGATATTTTTTAGTATAGTAATAGTGAGAGAAGCATGATAGAAGAGTCCAGATTGTGCATAATTTTCTTTTATTAAGTTGCGATGGTGAAATAGCAGTTTAACCCCTCTCCAAAGCGGGAGAGGGGGGACACATATCCCGTCTAAGCTGACGGATTTTTATTAGGCATGATAATCAACAAAAAAGCCACGCAAAAATTAGCGCTCTGTATTTTATAGGATGATTAAACAGTGTGAAGAGGTCCCAGTCATATGCTTTTTCTGTATTCTTACGCTTCATCAATTTATTTATTACTCAAAGCAAATCGTTTAATCTTTCCTTATATGGAAGTGAAAGATCTTAAAATAACTTCTCTTTTGAAGTATTAATCTAATTATTATTCATTGGCATGTTTTTAGCCTTGAAGTCCCAAAATAGAATTTCTACCCTTATC